ATTATATTAAGTNTTATTCTAAAATAAAAATTAATAATAAGTTGGAAATAGTTTGTCTTTATGTTGAGGGTAAATGAGTAAAACCAAGTAGAGAAAGTGTGTCTAGAATCAAAAATGTCTTAAAGTGTAAATTATTCACAATCAAGTGTGCTGGAGTGTAATTGTTTCAGTTCACTGAGTGTGCTGGAGTGTAATTGTTTCAGTTCACTGACATGCCAAAAATGTATATTTAAGAGGTAAAATCCGACAGACCAAACTAAAGCTGGCTGCCAAATCTCAGATAACTAATCAAATGGTTTATTTTAAATTGATCTTCAGTTTATGAACCATACTGAGATTTTATTGGAGATAAATAGTTATGGACCAACTTAGGGTGGAGCATGATCTATGTACATGCTAAACATACTGTGAAACAGATTAGAATTTCATGATGAGAGTACAGATGTAAAGATCTTTGAAACCATATAATGGCAGTTTAGTAGCAATTTTTTTTTTGTTTAAATGGCTGTTAGTCGATAACCTATTAATGTTGGTTGATTACCATTTGATTCTCATATCAACCAAGATATTTGTTTCCCTAAAAGAAAATCAATGTCATTTACTGAAGTTACAAGAAATGTAAGATTGTTTGACAAGATGTAGCATTACATGAATTGAAGACTAGTAAAATTGTTTACTGTATTTATTCTATTAAGAAAATGGGTTTTCCATATACAAAAATAATTCAGAAGTGAGAAGCGGCTTTTTTTACTCAAAAATCTTAAAAGGGTAATTGCAAAAATACCTTTTTTGGTGTGTCTATTTTTAAACTTACCACTATAAATTGTCTATTTGTAAAAATGTCACTAATTAAAAAATTTTAAACCCTAAATCTTCACATTCTAAACTCTAAAAGATGTTTTTGACCCCAAACAAGTTTTAAATCCTCAAACTTAAACTCTAATACAACATAATTAACCCAAACATAAATGATATATTGAATAAATAATTTTGAAAAAGTGACATTTTTGAAAAGTAACACTTCAAAAGTGGCATTTCTCAAAAATTATTTGGTTGTATTTGCAAAAGTTATCTTTTTCTTAGAACAGCATCAATTACTTCAATCATTTTCCTGGAATCGTTGGTTGTATTTGCAAAAGATTATCGTGTTTGGTTGTCTTTTGCAAGGTTTATTTTTTTGCGGTTTATTTTCGGAAAAACTTTAAGCGCTTTAATCTTAGGTTTGAAGGCTGATGTATAGGATCTGGGCAACTTTGATTATTATAACTCTTGTGGGAATGCTGCTTCTTTTGAATCAAACGGTTCCTTGTCCGAAGTTTGTAGTTCCGTCAAAGTTTTTTTCGTTGTTAATTTCGTTTTTAGATTTGTTTCT